ATATAACCACCAATCTCTTAGAAAAACCAACCATTTTCCACTATTCCTTTGCTTTTAGATAGAATACTTATCAACACCTAGTCTCTAGAAGGTTTGGGGGTTTTCGTTGCTGTGAACTTATTTTAGTCTAATTTTGTAATAATCCTCTGGCTCCTTTTCTTTGATGAGACTTTTTTTAAAAGAATATTTTTCCCCCCTCTTGCTTTCTTATTCTATGGTTTTCCCATTTCTGCAATCTCCTTCTCACAAGGCGAATCCTTCTTCTAGCATTGGTAGGTGTATCCAGTCACTCTTTCCCTGGACAGAACTGAGTTTTATTTTTCCGAGTAATCATTTTAAAAGTTCATCTTAATTAGCTGATGCCCGAAGTGATATTCCGGTTTCACTGTTTCTTAGAAGCACTTGAAAATGGAAATCAGATAGAGCTTTACCAGCTTCAATTCACCTATCCAAAGAGAGAGAGAGAGAGGAAAAAAAAAAAAAACCAACCACAAAACAAACCCAACAAAAAAACAAAACCAATGAACCATTTTGACTGAAGTCAAAGAGTGGAAACTGGATGTTCTGAGAATTGCTGTATCTTAAATGCAAATGTAAGACATGACTTTATGAAGATGGCTGTAAACCACCAAAATACAGCCACAATTTTTTAACCTAGTTGCACCACAAATCAAGGAGCTACAGGCATTACCTTCTCATGTACTGTCCAAATGCAAGGTTGTGTATCTGGTGGTGAGAATATTTGGAAATGATACACTCTCTGGGGCTAAATTCACAAAAGGTTTCCTTTCTCTGCTCTTGTACTCTTTCTGAATGTTGGGTGACAGCATGAGAGTCCCGGCAGTTGTAGCCAGTGCATAGGAAGCCCCCAGGCTGCCGGTTGGTTGAGTAGATCTTTCTCCGTGTAGTGTGGGAAATCTCAGTGCAGAGCGGCTACCCAGGCACAGATCTGTTCTGACTGGATAACAAGAGAGAATGTGATGTGTACTTGGCTGTTTAGATTAAAATGCATCTCAGGCTCTAGGAATGAGCACACATCAGTAGTAAAGGCTCTTTATACCTTTGGGGACAGCTCTATGTTTGGATTACATTAATTCATAAATATTATACTAAATATCACTTAAATTGGACTTAAATGACTTAAAAGATAATGCATTATAATATGGCTATCCAGAGAGCACTAGTATTTATGTCTCCTAGTAACTCAGACTTTGCTGCCTCCTATCCTGCTAGATAGACCAAAGTTATGAATGAATTGCTGGCTTGTTCATGTGTGATCCACTAACTGTGTATGTGTTAGCTGGTCTGAGCACGCATGTGTGCACATGTCTCCATGACCACTGGCACTGTCTGTTCTCCAAGAAGTGAAAAGAGAAATAAACAAGAGTCTGAAGAAGTGAAGACCCAGACTAGTGGATAACCTGTTCTCTTCCCCAAGGGAGAAAAAAGTCGACAAGAAGGGGCAAAATTGGCTCTTAGCTCACTTCTGCTGTTACCCTATGAGTTTGTCTCTCTCTGTTTTAATCAATAGTACAAAGCCTTTCTCTTGGGAGCCTGGAAAAGTGATCTTTTCCAAAGTGCTTCTAATTGAGGGGAGTCAAAAAGGCTCTGAGTTAGCCAGGAGAGTTTGCTTTAACGGGGGTTTTCGTTGTATGTCTCTTAAAATTTTAATTTGGGCCTATTTTCTTCTTTTTTCTCCCTGCCTAACACCCAGACCCACCCTAAAATTGCTTTCCAGTCTCCAGGGAGTGGATTTACCTTTACAGTAATTAGCCCAGTCCACAGCTGCTATTTGCTATCTCCCCAGCCCACCAGCCTTTTTCTGATATGACTGGGTTTGCTCCACAACACCCACCCACTCCCTCCTCCACAGACTCCCAATTTGACTGGAGTAATTGCCTTTTAAGGTTCACTCTACGCATGGCAGGTATTCCATTAACCCTTAGAACTACTTCCTATTTTCGTTACCTGCAATGGCAGACGGCCAACAAATGAAAACTCACCTGGAATACCATACATTTAATTTCCCTTTCTTTAGTCTTCTTTTTTTCAATAGCATATCTATTCCATTTTCACTGGAAGCTAGTCTTATCACAGTACAATTTTATCTCAAATGTACCCCAAGTGTATCTATTTATTAGAAGTTGGAAATTCGAGAAAAGGAGAGCAAGAGTCACAAATATGCCTTGAGATCAGGCTTAACAAAGGCATGCTTTTCTCTCTAGTCTCATGTTGCCAATTTAGAAATAGGAAAAACCTAGAAGCCAAATGCAACCCTCATTCCTCAAGCTTCATCATGCCTTTTGGCTTAACAGTAATTAATCACCAATGGCAAGCGAGTGATTTTTTAGGGTGGCCAGAGGCTATTTTATTAGGATTAGCTAATAAATCAGGCAGCATCACTGGAGGAGTTTAAACTCTTCTTGGACTGAATAAACCAGACCTCGGAAACAGTCTCATTTGTTCAGCTCTCCAGGAGCTTCCAGGCACTGTTAGAGACATTGTGGCCCAACCTTGCTCTAGAAAAATCAGAGGAATGGAAAGGCAGGAAGTTTCACAGGGGAGGTATATGCTTGGGCTCCGAAAGGTGAGTTGCGGCAATGAGACATCCAGCATGCAGGAGTCAACGGGCCTGCCTGCTACTGACTGAGCCAGTTTAGGGGAAGAATCATTTAGAAAATGAAGGTTTGCTTTCCTGGGAATTTTAGCCAGGGGTGTGTGTGTGTGTGTGTGTGTGTGTGTGTGTGTGTCTGTGTGAACGCCATAACATTCTCTACTTTTCGGAAGCAAATTATAATTTACTTCTTTGCTGTAATACGAGAGTACAAATGACACCAGAAGCAAAGTGATGATATCAGCAAGGGATTGTGAAAAGAAACCAAGGTATGTTGTTGAAGTTTATCTTTATTTGAAATAAAGAAACAAGTGTTATAATCTAGATACTATGAAAAATCTAGTTCTTCAAAACTGTGTTTTGCCTCTAGTGAGTTTTGATTTTTTTTTTTTTACTTTATAATCTTAAATCACTGTAAAAACTGATCTCTAAGAGAGGCAAAAGATTCCCCTTCCTATGCTTTTTAATTTCATTGAAAGGGCTATATTAAAATGATAAAGGCTTGATTCAAACCTTGATTAGCTTCTGGAGAGCTTGACTAGAAAGGAAAAAAAAAAAGCTATAATGATATGGTTGACTTGTGGCAGGGGAATAAGAGGAAGAAAAGAAATAATATTTTGAAGACTGCTTCCACATTTTCCTCTCCAATATCTCTTCTGGACAGACAGACATTTTGGATAAAGGTTTGCCTCTCTCTCCATTACAGCCCCCCACCCTCCCCTAACCCCACCAAACCTAGTATATTTCCATTCGGTTATGTTTTTGTGCTACTCAACATGCCATTCACTTTAAGATTTACTCCTCAGCAAGCAAGCTGGAAGATGATAAAGCCAAGAAAAACTGCTCTCTGGGACTCCAACTATAAAGAGTTTGGATCTCTGTTCAGTATTTGGACGGAGGGAGGGCCAGAGTAGGGGGGTGGTTGTGATAGTGAAAACCGCTGCTGTTTAGAGAGCCTGCCAGCTCCGTGCTCATCACCTAATGTGCTGGAGGATCAGCTCTGTTCAGAGCCCATTTGTGACCAAGGATGAGGCTGCTGTCTGTGTGTATGTGTGTGTGTGTGTGTGTGTGTGTGTGTGTGAGATACACACACACACACACATACACACACAGAGAGAGAGAGAGAGAGAGAGAGAGAGAGAGAGAGAGAGCGCTTCATCTTTAAAACCACTAGCTCTAACAGCATCTTCGGTGGCTCTCCACGCTACTGTATTAAAAACCGGAACGTCCATACGCATTCCCTACAACTTCCTTAGTCCAGTGCTCCCTCTCAGCCTGACATCAATCTCTCTCAGAAAGCATTTAACTTGCCCACATAGCTCCAGCACCGATTAATCCCCACTGCACATCCTACACGTTACTGTTAGGAGCAGAGCACTGGGCTAATTTCGTCACCCACCAGCCACCCACACACGTTCTACAACCGAACACGTTTGGGGTTCTGTCTTAAAGATAATAAAACAAGGCGAAAACAGGCAGCCTGCAGACAATTCCCCTGATCACTTCCTAAAAAGTTGCTGGGTTTTAATTCCTTGATTATTCTGTGTCCCCCCCTTCCCCAAGCACTCACTATCAATGATTGCTTCAAGGGAGAGAAAGACTGTACTATAAAGCTCTCTGCATGGTGAGTTTGGGATAAATTAGGGTATACCCTTTAAAACGCATATCTTGGACACACGGATTATTTGCCAAAGCCCCGGCTTTCTGAGAAGTGGACCACCAGGCTTCCCCCGAGCCCCATTCCACCCAGGGGTTGGCTGGTTCCTTGAAAATTCCTGCTTTCTTCAAACAGTCCTTCCAATCCTACCCCCGCACCCCCATCAGAGGACTGAGACACATCGCTCGACAGGGAGAGTTTACTGCTAAATTGATAGCGAAATAAAAATATCCTTTTGAATTTGTTACCCCCTCTTCCTTTTAGACTGCTGTGCTCCCTCTACTCTGGCCCAGAGCAGAGGAGGAAGAGACCATCGCCTCTGAGTATTTTCAGCACCACGGCGATGGACAGCACCCTCGGTGCCCGGCCCGCGGCGCGCCAGCCAGTCCGCTCAGCGTCCCGGGCTCCGCCGGTGCACTGGTTCCCATCCCAATGTTTCAAGTCGCTGTCCCCACAAAACCCATTCCCAGTTTCCTCTCGATCCTCTTTCTCGCTCTCTTTCATCTTGTGCGCCCACCGTTTCGCCCCACTGCACTATTAGCTCTTCGCCCCCAAAACACAGCATTGCCCCAGCGAGCAGCTCCCCACGCACCCCAGCCCTGGGCTCCGCTGCCCGCGCGCCTCCTTCCTCGGCGCCCGCCCGAGGCTCCCTCTTGCGCTGCCTCCCGCTCGTTCGTCGCCTGCCCGCTCCTTCTCCTCGGCAAAGTTGGGTGGAAAAGGTGCACTCACCTTTGTGCATGCCTGTGAACCTGTCCTTCAGGACCGTGAGCTCGTAGATCTTGCCGAACTCCTCGAAGAGGGGCTTGAGGTCCTTCTCATCCAGGTTGCGGGGGATCTGCCCAATGAACAGCTTGATGGCATCGTGGTCCTTCATGGGAATGGTCGACGGGTTCCCCGGGCTGTGGCTTAATCCGTTCATGTGCCCGGCGCTGCCCGGGCTGCCGCCGAGCCCGTTGGTACTGAGGCTTGCGTTGTCAGCCTGTCCGTTTGCTAACGTGGCCATCTTTATATACATAGAGAAAATCTTCTTTCCTTTTATTCTTTCTCGCTCGCACTCTCTCGCTCCTCTCCCTCGCTCGCTCCCTCGCGCTCACACACGCACACGCATCCACACACTCGGGCTCTCTCTCCCTCGGTTTCTCTCCACCTCGCTCTCCTCTCGCTCGCTCGCTCTCTTTCTCCTCTCTTCTCTCGCTCGCTCGCTCGCGCTCGCGCTCTCTCTCCTCGCCACCCCCCTCACCCTCTCCTCTCTCCCTCTCTCTC